TTTCACTGGAATATAAAGAAGATTCCTGGGGACATACTGGGATGTAACATTAAGCAGTTGAGAGTATGTATTTAAAAGGTTAAAGGGGTATTGTAACTAGTATTTTAAATCCTGATAACATCCCATATGCTGTCGGTGGGATCTAGATAGGATGTCCTAAGGATATACTGGGATGTGACATTAAGCACTCGGGAGGATGAGTTTAGGAGGAAACTGGGATATTACGAGATGTCCTGAGGATGTAGTAAGTAGGACTTTAAATCCTAATAACATCCCACACGCTGTCGGTGGGACATAGATAGGATGTTCTTAGAATATAATGGGATGTGTTTAGGAGGTTAGTGGGATATCCCAGGATGTCCTGAGGATGTAGTAAGTAGGAGTTCATATCCTAATAACATCTCGTACGCTGTCGATGGGACTTAGTTAGGATGTCCTGAGGATGTACTGGGATGTGACATTAAGCACTCGGGAGGAGGTGTTTAGGGATGTCCTTAGGATGTGCGCATATCCCGCGAGCAACATTCTCAGGATATCCCAAGGATGTTTTTGTGCTATGTGGGTGAAAATTTTAGACATTACCGTAAAATACAGTAATAATCTATTCGCATGCCTGAAAAATAAAATAAAAGGTTGCTTTTTTTAGGAAAATATAATTTTATTATTTTTAAAGTAGATCATTTTAATAAGACATTATTTTTCTAATTTAAAGAATGCGCTAAAGATAGTGATTTGTTTATCTATATCGCTGTGCTCAATACAAATTACAGTTTTATATTCATGACTAAGAAGGTATTTAATTTTTAGTTTATTTAAAATTGTGTAATATCTGGAACATAAAATAAAAATAGCAAATACAATGCGAAGAATATCAAAATAACTACGCAAAATCTCACGGTCCTAAATAAGTTAGTTTTAAAGATCTTAAGGTTTGTATTATACTGTTAGACTATTTAGTTATTATTTATTCGTATTAATAATTATTATAATTATTTATATTTATTACTTTAAAGGTATCTGATCCCTTAGGATTATTACAGAAATCTGAATTAATAAGCCGCCTTACGTAATATACTTTGTAATTTGCTGATATTTTTCCAAGCGGCAGAGCATTTTATCTGTGTTATATTTTTAACTGAGATTCTTTATTAAATAGGCATGGCAATTAGTGAAGAAGAATTAAGGTATTGTCTCTGAAAACATGGCAAAAATCTTGTTTCTAGAAAAACTTCTCATTTCAATTTTATGACCAGCTCCTTTATATTTCACATTACTGTGTAATAATATCTCAGTATATTTTACACAGTAACACTATTATATTGTATATTATATTGCACTTGCATGAGTATATTGCTCAGTTTTTTTTTTAAATGGACGTTCTGCTCTAACTGCAACTTAATTAAATATAACTTTAAAAAATAATGTAAAGCCTGTTGCGTAGCACGGAATTCAGGTAACTTTATTTACTGATGTTCCATTATTATATTATTATTATTACTAATTATTGATGCTCCATTATTAAATATTAGTTTTATTACATTACTGTGTAATAATACCTCAGTATATTTTACACAGTAACACCACAGTATTGTTGTTATATTGAGCTTTCATGGGTATATTGCTCAATTCTTTTCATGTAAATGGGTACTCTGCTCTAACTGCAACTTAATTAAAAATTAAATATAACTTTGAAAAAGAATGTAAAGCGGTGTTGCGTTGCACGGAATTCAGTTAACTGTAATATTTATTGATGTTTCCTTTTAAAAATTTTTTTAGTTAATTTGACAGACTTTTGAATCATACCGAACCCGATTTTCATGCTGCAAAACTTTACTTTTATGCAACATTTCTTTATCTATTTATCATATCTATGGGTACATATTTTTTCAAGCCGAATTTGATTCTTATATGCTTGTGTCGTGTAAAATATATAAAATGATTAAAAATACATTAAAACCTCTTTGCTTTTCAAGCAATTTACAAAAGGATTTTACTATTCTACTCCACCTATAAGTTTCGGAAAGGCTCACGGTTCAGCAGTAATTTTTTTATTTAATATATTTTTTAATATAAATTTAACTCCTGTCAAAAAATTTTAAGATATGAAGACAATTAATTACCTAATTATAGCAAATCATTTAAGAGCTGTCAACCTAATGAAAAAAGATCTTCATTGAAGGCTTTTAAAAGGAGATAGGACTGGTTTATTTGACAATGCTAGAAATCGAGCGATAAGTAAAACGGTTAAATCAATCAGCCAGTTTGTCAATCAACGTATATTTTTCCAAATCAAGAAAGAACTAGACGCTTGCACGGCCAGCAGACTAAAATAAAAAATAATATATATATAAATAATGGTTTTAATGAGTACTTCTAGCATAATTTCACAGATCAACCAGTAATTATTAATAACAAAGATTAGTGCTTTTAAATCGCTTATACTTTTTAAGTCTGAATTTCTGGATTAGATTCGAAAGACAAATATCTTACTCTTTTCCGAGTAGCAACACATTTCTTTTAAATCGCCGTTTCGTCTGATTAAATATGAAACATAAACATCTTAAAATATCCCCAGTGGCAACACATTGCTTTTAAATCATCGAGTTTGTTAATCAAAATATCATGAAATTCTCATGCGTATCGAAAACTTGGTGACTCTAGTTAGTGCCGTTATTCGACAATGCAGATGCAAATTAGTTAAACGCAATTATGGTTTTTTTCTTTTAAATGACTGTTGTGGCTGAAATAGATATACAAAGTTTCTTTATGCATATTACTTTTGGAGCTGAGTTCCTAATTTACAGTTTGGTCCTTTTTCTTTTTTAATATTTTATATCATAAAAACTATTTTGTGTATAAAATAATATAATTTCATAGTTAATTTTTGAAAATATCATCAGTTATAAGCATGTTAACTGGTTACAAATTTTGAAAAGTTATCACAAATCATCAAACTGAAATGTGTTATTTAAATAAACATGCACTAAAAAATACAATACACAGTAGAGGTAACTTTCTCATTATTGTTTCCTTGCCTTCATGTTAACAATTTACTACCAAATCACACATTTACTCTAAGAACCAAAGCTGCTTTAGATAATTTCCTAAGTATTTTGATGTGCAAATACATTTCGAAAAGAAGAAGATTCAATAAGTTTTCCAGAAAGACATTAATACACTTCTTTGAGATTATACATTTGTATCACTACGCATTTTAAGGCCTTATTTTCAGTTTATTAAATCACATTAATTTATAAGTAATCTTAGTCATTCATTTGTAGTTTTTTGAAGATTTTCTCTCGAAGAGTATAAACTGAGTTAGTATAGGTAAAGATGGCTTGGTGCAGTAAAGATATAGCAGCTAAGAACTTTCCTAGGTCTAAATTAATTGCTTGAGTTCTCAGGCGCTTATTTATTTTCCTGTGTAAAGTTAAACTTAAGACTGGGTAAATCTAGTTAGAGAGCTGTTATTACATAAAAAAGAGCCATTTTGAAAGCAAGATACTAGTTAATAAGCCTAAAACATATCAGTCAATAAATTTTGCTCTTTGAGTGCAGCATTTATTGACTGATATGTTTCAGGCTTATTAACTAGTATCTTGCTTTCAAAACTGCTCTTTTTTATGTAAATAGACAACAGCTCTCTAATTATATTTACCCAGTCTTAAGTTTAACTTTACACAGGAAAATAAATTCAGCAAATTTACCAATATAGGGTTTATTAGGAAAGAGTTTTAATGTAATAAGTTGATGTGAAAATAATGTAATGTTAGGGTAAGGTATTAATTTGATATGTAGTATATAACGCAATGTGTAAATCATGTATCGTATATAATGTAATATGAAATGTAAGATAAAGGTGGACGTGGGGCTATACTGATTAACCCAAATGGTAAAGGGACAGTGCCCACATTCTCCGTCGCTTATCGCTTATCTATGAATGTAGCATCATAGTTAATATCCGCCAGTTTACAGAACACTGGATGGGTCTCTTTGCAGCTTTGGTTAATTGTTAAAGGGTACATAATTACTATTAATATTATTACGTTTATATATAAAAATTTGTTGAATGGATTCCACGGAGCCCGTAATTAACCATACGCGACATTCAATTGTAGGATCAGTTACCAGTCTATTTCAATAAAATTACCCACAAGAAAAAGTCCGTCATACTCACTTACAATCTCGGTTTAAGCTAGCAAACGTCTATAATAAAAGATATGCGGTGTTAATCGTCAAGTTCATATTATTATTATTATCGAACGTGATATTTGCCGAAGGCAACATTGACTAAATCTTTCAATTTACAAACGTACAGCGCAACTCTACAGCTGAATTTGTAAACGCAATAATATAGGGAATTTTGAAAAGTTCTTTAAAATACGCATAATTACTGATTGTTATTACATTTATTTGTTAACCGGTGTTTTAAGTTTTTCCAGGTTCAGTTATTTCAATTTTGCGCATCTCATAGTTGTATCTGAATACCTCATCAGTTTATATCTTATTTGCTTATCTGTGTATTTGTTTAATGAATTTGAGATAAGTTCTATTACTATAATAACTTGTCAGAAAAAGTACAGGCAACAGTGTTGCAAGTGGTATAGTTTAAAAAATAGCGTTAAAGAATTATACTTCACGAAACGATTATGAAATGAAGCCAAAGAGAGATTCAATATTATTTCTCTTTCCCCCTTATTACTTTAGCAAGACACTTCTAAATAAAATATAATCCACCGTGGCTTGACGTAATTCCAATAACAGAACAGTGAACAAAACATCAGATTCAGCATCTGTTTATCATCAGTTTATCCGCCGGCTTGTTTCTACTTCCAATTGTTCAATTCAAATGTTTAAAATTTTCATTAAGTGTCGCCGAAAAGGGCGCTAAAGCGCCAGTTTATTTCAACCCCTATCATATCGATGCGGCGTGGGAGCACGGCAACCGTATCCTCAGTCCCGCAGCATCCCTTCGTTTAGACGACAGGGGCAAGATAGAGAGAAGTGCGCAAAGATTTTTTTGTGCGTGCGTGCGTGTGTGTGTAACCATTCATTCTGCAATTTGCGTCCGCGACCATGAAGAGGGTGGTGCATCAGACAAAGGGACGATAGGACGGAAACCCAGAAGAGGTGAGAGACGTAGAGATTCTATTTAGTCCCCTATTTTAATACTCAAACGATTTCCCCCGTTGGGCCGCAAGGTCGAGAAAAGGAGGGGGTGTGCGAGTGGCTACATCCACTGCGGTGGGTATACAGGTAGTTTACCAAGTGTTTACCACTGCAGTGAAATGAGAAGCGATCAGCCCTCAGTCCCTTTTAAAGCGCAACCCCTTTTTTACCCCTCACTGATAGCTACCCGCGCTTTCAGCGGTCGCAGTTTCTAAAGCGGGGGTATGTAAGAGGGGGGAGGGATGAGAATCTCATAATCACTGCGCACGGCATGTTTTCACTGCGCTTTTGCAGGAAAAGAGTATGCGGAAATTGCTTATAACTGTACTCGAACTTTTGTACGCTAACATGCTATAATCACCGAATATTTTCAGTTTCTTTTTTAGCAAGCAGCTATGTGTTTTCGATATTTTCGTGACATTAATTATGTGTTTTCTGCATAATATTTGTAAATACAGAAGCCCAAAAAAGAGGCTAAATCCCAAAGGCAGAATCTAACAAAACTCCATCAGTTTCATTATTTTTTTTAATTATAAATACAACTATGTGTTTTCTGGCAATATATGTTTGCCTGTCGTAAACAACAATGAAAATTCTAAGTTTAAAAAAAAAAATTAAAACTGGCTTTCCAAATAAAGCAACCAACTGACACAACTTACCAAAACCTCATAGCTTCCGAATATTTCTTAAAATTTAATTATATAGTTTCTGACAAAATATAATTGTAGCACTAGTTTAATTATAAAGAGAGATGCAGGTTCTGTGTTTTCTAAATTATGAGGTTTTTTACTTCATTAGGAACTGTAATCAGCTAATCAAAAATTCCTCTCCTTAAATATGTCTTTAAAAATGTACATAATTTCAGAGATCACATAGTTCCTTATCATTTTAAGGATTATGTACTTTTAATTTCTAATAATGTTATAAAAATTTTATTTATCAAAATACTCAATTACTCTTTATTGTTGTTTAATTTCTGAAGCATATTTCATTCATTGTTTATTATGTATCACCCCTTTGATTTTTTTGGCACTCCTTTTACTTAGTTTTGAAACTAGATTATCAAACATTTCTACTACAGTTATTTAGTTAGTTCTAAGTTCTTTGTAAGTTTGTTTATTCTTTATTGCTTTGAATGCATCTTATTAGTGCCTTGGAAAACTCTGATTTAAACTGAATATATCAGCATTTTTATTGATCATTTATTAATAAATAATTTAAGTTTTACTTCTGGATTTCAATTTTTTGTAAACTTTTAATGGAATTAATATGAAAATAGTATACGAAGACAGATCGAAAGATGTAGCATTTCTTGAAACTTACTCTATTTCCCCTAAAGCAACTAAAGACTTCTTTCCTAAAGCAAAATTAACTGACTTCAGAACTAGATAATTTTCAAATTTTTGAAAAAGATAAATTTTTGAATTATATTTATCATATAAAAAAAATTTATGCTTGGTAAATGTTTGACTTGCTGGTGTAATTCATATAAATTCTACTTATGGTAGTTTATGTTGGTAGAAAATATTTCTATTTTGAAGAGCAGTCTTTCTACTTATGTATATACTGTGTAAAAGAGGAAAATTTATGAAGTGAAACATTTTAACCGACGATTTTTCAAACATTGTTTAATTTTTTTCAGTTATCGGGAAGCTGCTAACAATCATGGATTAATTAAAAGATTTAATCGTTCATTGTGAGCAGCCCATGATTTTAAATCAGATTTCTTAATCAAGCAAGAATTAAATACTTTAATTTGACTCCAGATTAGAATGAAGAATTTTCTTACAGAGCAGTGACTTTATGACTTTTCCACTTTTTATAAACAAAAATTTATGAAACAATATATATATATATATATATATATATATATATACTATTTTTGTTTAAATTGCACACACTAAAGTATAAAAGATAATTTTTAACTATTATATTATTCTTGGTTCTGTTTACATATGACCTAAAATATAATGACAGTAAATTGTTTTTTTCCTTATAGGGCACTGGACTGAAACTGTAATTTAACAAAGTTTTTTAGAGATAGAATTAGGCACAAGCAATCAAAATACATGTACATAGATGTTACAGGACTTAGATTCCAAACTATAATTACACATTATCCAATTTGGGGCTAATACCTTCTGTTTATGTAGTGATAATCTTGTTTAAAGATGACTGTTAACTAATTGAATATGTCTAATTCAGATCATAGCTTGCTTTTACTACTTAGCTACTATAGCTACATCTATTGCTCGGTTTATATTTCAGACTTGCGAGTCACTAAGTATGAAAAACACAAGTTCGGTTAAAATAGCTCACTTCCATGACTTGTTAGAATAAACCCACACTCAATAATTCTTCCTCAAAAAACACAAATGTGATAAATTATAATACCAAGATAAATATAAAAATACTGATACTGGAGTGTTTCCAAACGCATTTCGAAGTAAAAGCTTTGTAATTGTAGAAAATGTATTAATGAAATGAAACTCAGACACTGATAAATCACGCATGTTTAAGTAATAAACGCAGCTTGGTAAAAAAATCTTGAAAATTCATTCAAAATCAGTATCATTATTTTTAACCAAGTACAGTTTCGTTTGCAATTATTTTGAAAAGAAATTCTTTTCCACGTGCAGCATTCTGAAGGGAGTTTCTTAAAGCATTTGAAATATTGTTAGATTTAAAGTAACATCGGTACTTTAAAAGTTAGGTTAAGAAAATTTGCTTAAGAACACAAGAGTATTAATCTGTTTGCTGGAAGAGACAAGAAGGATTCTTATCAGAAAGGCTGTATTCTTATTTATACTCATTGTATACATAAGAATAGAGACAATGAGGATTCTTATCAGAAAGGCTGTATTCTTATTTATACTCATTGTATACATAAGAATACAGCCTTTCTGATAAAACTAAAGTAAGTTAATGCTTCTATTACGTATTTACATAAGAAGAAAACTGTAACATTTTGGGGGAAAATGCATATTTATGTCTTGTAATCAAGAACGTAACTGATTTATGCATTAAATCCTTAAATTATTACATATCTCTCATCATAAACTGCATCATAAGCTACATGTGTCATCAATATGTATATTATGCATAATATCAACAATGGTCTATTTTACTGATTTTCGCACGTTAATCTAGAGCAGGAGTTTTAAACATTTTTGCACTCTTTTCACTACGCTAAAAGATCATTCTCCCCTCTTTTCCCAAACTCAAAAATAAATATGTATGTTTATATTTAAATGATTTTTCCATAAATTGAAACTAAATACTTAACAGATAAATAAGTGGCTGACCGCATTCCCCCCTGAAACTATAAAATTCCCCCCCTGGTTGAGAATCCCTTATCTAGAACTATAAGAAACAAATCTGAAGCATTTATTAAATAAAATTTAAGGTATAGAAATTATTAAAACACAAAATTTATTTTTTCAAACATTTTTTATTGTTAGTTTTCGATTCTGTATGATTACGAGAAAAGTTTCTTGTATTGTAAAGTATGATTACGAGTGTTTAGAAGAGCATTTCTTTCATCTAAGCCCTTTCGGCCCATAAAGTTACATAGTTTAACAATAGAAGTTTCTTGTAGATTTTTGTAATATCATGATGCAAAAAAAATCACCATCATAAGATGTTTTAAAATAATTTTTGGATATATATTTATTACGTTTTCTTATAAAAGGCTATTTTCATACAGGCATACTTATTCATATGAAAAGAAACCAAGCAAACCTTTAATGTTTGCTTATATTTATGGATCAACTTGAATTTCATCTATAAATAATGCAAAATAATGTAATAATAAAGAATATAAATTATATTGTTTTTCTTTCAATAACTGAAATGTTTCATTGAAGACTCAGATGCTAGACACAGGCGCCTGTGCTGGAAGTCGCATCCTGTGTATAACATCAGAGAAACAGCATGACTTTCCTGATATAACGTAAAGGGATGTTGAGTGAGAACAATGAAAAATTCTCGATGACGCGTAGATAAGTCTTCGCATAAACATACGAAGTTACTACGGATAAGGATGTTATGCTGAAAAAGCAGTCAGACTGCTGCTGATCTAAAAGAAAAAGAGAAAAATATAATTAATATGTAGAACGTGAGTCGGGCCGAGGCCCCAACCCACGATCAGAGAGTCCCAAATTTTTTTCTCTGCTATGCTCTATCTGCTTCGCTATTGGTCCGTCGTGGATCGTGTGCTTCATTTCTCTTAGTTCTCTGATTCGGCGAATAGGATGAGTAACATTGCTGCCTGGAAACAGTTTTGTAATTTTCAGCTGAATTTTTGGCAGTTTTAATTTTCCCGATGAATGAGATAAAAGATGTAAGGAACGCGTTAATTTTTTCATCTTTTAGCCAGGCTGTTGCGTCATTTAAGTCTTTCGGAGGTGGGGTGATTTCCCCTTTGAGCTTTTCACTATACGTAACTTGAGAGATATTTTTACGCACTGGATCGGTAGTCGTTTTTGGACTAGGGAAATTTTCTTCTACTTTAGGCTGGGGTTGTAGGCTTTTCTTCTCAAACTTCTTGTATTCACTGCATCCTGTATAACTGCTCACGTGGTTTTGTCCGCAACAAGAACATATAGGCTTATCCTCTGGTTTCATGGTGCACTGGTTACTACGATGTTGGTTCCCGCGCTTTACATATCTCACAGGGTTATAGCAACAAAATTGAGAGTGGCCGAATTGCTGGCAACGATAACATTGCACTGGTCTCTTTCTTGGATTAAATTTTTCTATTACCATGTTAAAACTAAACATATTATTTAGCTGGTGGATCTGATTTCCTTCTGGGGTTCTCTTGAGCTCTAGTAAGAGTATGGGGAGTTTTTTTTCCCCTTTATGTTTCCTGGAAAATTGTTTAACTTTCTCAATCGGATAGTTCCTGCGTTCTAAGTCTTGCTGAATGGCTTCTTCCTTTACAGATGCGAGGTGGTTCT